TTTTACTTCATTTGATATTTCTCTCTCTAAAAACCGGAGTTTTAATCATTTCACATGATTATATAGAGTATCACAAAATCAGGCATGGAAAAATTATTTTTTGTTTTTTATTTTTTTATCCTCACCTGAGGACATTTTTTGCATTTATCTTTAGATAGAGTGGGGGGGGGGTAGAGATGAGGGAAGAGAGAGAGAAAAACATCAATGTGAAAGAGGCACATCAACTGGTCACCACCACACCACCCAAACTAGGGTGGGGACAAACTGCAATTGAGGTACGTGCCCCTTTAGTGGGAACCAAACCCAGGACTCTCTGGTCCGCAGGCTGACACTTTAACAGCTGAGCCAAACTGGCCAGAGCCAAAGTTAGTTTTTAAATGCATCAGAAATGCAAAAAAAAAGAGCATGTTTGCAGTATAAGGCTCACCAAGCAGAGTTTAGCAGTTGGCTCATTGGTAGATGTGCTGTACACATAGCAACTGGTCCACAGATTTTTCTAATAAACTGATTTGCACTGAATAAATAAATGTGTAGGAATCAACAGCAATAAGAATAATAGCTCCCTAAAAGGGATTTCTTTGTATTATATAACTATCAATTGGCAATTGCAAACCTTAATGAAAAGAGACAAACTGCAAGTTTGATACTTACAGAAGCGTTTGATGAAGCCTGCTTGATGTAGCTTGACAATGGCAATAGAAATTCCTTTAATCCCCAAAATGTTGCTCTACTAACAAACCATTTAAAATGTTTCCAAGCAAAAAAGTTTATCCTTTACTTTAATGTATTATACTCTATAAAAGAAAAGAAAAAAAGGGTATACTACCCTGTGAAGAATAAGACACACCTGTCATAACACGTACCATAGCTTTTTTTATCCATTCATCTGCTGATGGGCACTTGGGTTGTTTCCAGATCTTGGCTATTGTAAATAGTGTTGCTATGAACATATTCTTTCTGAATGGTGCTTTAGGATTTTTAGGATATATTCCTAGAAGTGAGAACATTGGGTCAAATGGCAGTTCCATTTTTTTTCTTTTCTTTTCTTTTTTTTTTTAGGAAACTTTATCCTGTTTTGCATTGTGGTTGCACCAATCTGCAATTCTACCAGAAGGAGGTCATTAACTGAGAAAGAAGAAGAATGTAAAAGGATTTTCAAGAAATTTTAAGATTGAGAACCACCAAGAGAAATATTATCGGGTTCACAAAGTAAGTTTGGAGCAACTTGCCCCTTTGGAAAAATTTAGTTTTGTTTTGTTCATTTTATGATTTATCCTCTGTGAAATCTGTAAACTTTTAATACAGAAACACTCAACAGTGCCATTTTTGCTGAGGAATCACAGCATTAGAACAGTAATTCCTGACTCATCAAGTCAGTCTTCCATTCAAAGTATTTTGTTTTACATCTTCTGCATCAATTCCAAAATCATTTCATTGTCCTCCATATTGTGCCATTTACATATATTTTCAAGCGTACCAACAAATTTATTTTAATAAATGCTACACATAGCTAATAGTTTCTTTTTACTGGTACATTCTGTCAGTCACTATTCTAATATTATTTCATGTACTATTTTATTTGATATTCACAATAGTCTAATGAGGTAGATACTGTTATTATCTCCATTTTACATGAAGTCAAAGCTCAGATGTTAAGTAATTGGCCCAAAAATGTATAGAGATTTTGGTACTGGAGACAGTATTTGTATCTTGAATCTTAATATATATTATTAACATGTCTCCCTAACCATGTCTCAACCTACAACACAAAATGTATAAATGGGATCCTGGAGGAAAACAAATAGATCTACCATCATTTGTTCATACACTTCTTTTTCACTGAACACCAAGTCTTTCTCAATCACCTTCTACTAAAATCCCCAGATCTTTTAGAGCCTAGTCTAAACTCACTTCCTCTAAAAAGCATTAAATACAGAGTATCTCTATTGGTATCAATCAATATTGATAACTGACTGAAATTTCATCTTTCTCTCCTCAGAATCCATTCCAGTGCTTTGTTGACTTTCTGTCATCATAGAATTAACTTCCAAACTGAAACATAGTTATATGAGTATTGTGATTATCCCCCTTTTTATTATGATAATTGAAATCAGTTTTGTGCTGTACTCATGTAAACATCTAAATGTTAGACCAGTCATTTTTGTCAGAAAAATATCTGTTGAAAAAATTTATTGATATGAAAATAATAAACATGGAAGAAACATTGGGTGGGTGTCAACCAGTGAGACAAATAGCCATCTTTCTCTCTGTCTCACCTTTATATAAGAATAACCTCTCAATTGTAAACTGAAGCCAAAACATATCATGAGGAGAGTATATTGCTCATAAATGATTGAGTCATTTTGTAACAGCTACTGTATCCCTGCCACATGCAGGGAAAGAATGATGATTCCTAAGCCTCTGTCATGGGAATATGCAATCACAATATGTAGAAGTGAATGAACATAATCCCTTACACACTTAGGCTAAAACCTGCAATTCCTCTCCATTGCTTTTTTAAGGGCACCACCCACGTCCACATGGGTTGTGTGTGTGTGTGTGTGTGTTTTATATTTTGTTCAGATAGAGCGGGAGAGAGAGAGAGAGAAACATCGACATGAAAGGGACACATGGACATGAAAGGGACACATCGACTGGTTGCCACCCTCACAACCCAACCAGGGCTGGGGACAAACTACAACTGAGGTACATGCCCTTAGCGTGAACCAAACCCAGATATCTCTGGACCGCAGGCCAACACTCTAACTGCTGAGCCAAACCGGCCAGGGCCACGTCCACATGGTCTTAATTGCCTATTCCTAACATTACAGTTTCAGCTTCATCACTCATCACACTTCATCTTACTTCTAATTCTCAACCTGCATCAGACTGCCCCACTCAGATTTTTCTGTTTAGACTATATGTTCTCCAAGTTGCTAAAAATTATTCTCCCTGCTTTTTAAAAATATCTTTCTTTATTGATTTTTTTTAGAGAAAGAGAGGGAGAAAAAAATAGAAACATCAATGTGAGAGCAAAACAATAATCAGTTGCTCCTGCACTTCCCTCCCCACTGGGGATCATGCCTGCAACCTGGGCATGTGCCCTGACCTGGAATCAAACCAGAAACCCTTAGTCCATGGGATGACACTCAATCCACTGAGCCACACTGGTCAGGTTCTCCCTGATTTTTCTTATGAGTACAATGTAATTGATCTTTCAAGTTGTGCAGCTCAAAGACTTTTATCATGATTTTTCCAGTTGGGAATTATTAATTATGCAATGTTTACTTTCCCTATGATAGTACTTGTGATACAGATTTTGTAGTGTATGTACCTTCTTCACGTATCAGAACATAACATTTCAAAGGTTCAATAACAATAGAATCTAAGCTTTACAAAAGTAAGATTTGTTGTTGTTTTTCACTGCTAATAGTGCTAGAACATGCTGAATTTCTGAATAAATATTGTATGGTCTTCCAAGACTCATTGCATGCAATGCAATCATTTAGTTCAAATCAATTAACTTATTTAAAATGAACAAAAACACATAAAATTGCATATGTGAAAGAAGCATTGGTCATAAACAATCATGGCAAATATGGTGTGTCTAAATAACTGTTACTTATTGTGTATACAAGTACTATTCTAGGTATTACACAGGTTTAAACATATTTATTCTTCACAATGACACTCTAAGTAAAAGTAATATTTTTATAATCATTTTTTTCCACTTAGGAAACACAGGTACAAAGAAGCTAATCATTTACTTAAATCACAAAGCTATTACCCAGTAGAGCATGGCTAGAAACCCTAGCAGTCTGAATTTAGAGTCTAGAGTTTGTGCTATTTTAACCATTTTCCTGATCTGTCTCCCTTTTCCAAATTAAGGCTTACAGAGGAAGGCTGGAAATTACAAGTTAAGCATCAGTTCTATGTTTCAATGAAAGTCTTCAGTGACTGATTTAGAAGTGAGCCACAGTAGAATTTAGAATTATCGGAGGTAAAACTTTGTAAATTATATGATTGTCTAACCACTGCACTTAAAACTAATATAAAATAATATAAAATGTCAACTGCAATTAAAATATAAATAAAGTAATGTTTCATCTTGTAATGAGATCATATCAGCATGTATGTGTTTCCTGTAGAAAGAGGAGAAACCTTATAGAAACAAATGGACTTGTGTGTAAAATTTAAATTCTGCATAATTTAATATTTACCAGAGATCAAGTCCATTCTGCTTTCACCTTATACTCATTTTGTATGTTGCTTTTGCAATGCTTTCCAAACAGGTGAAAACATACTCAGTTATATTCTAAAAAGCAGAATTTAGACTGGGCTCCCCACAGTATATTTTCAGTATTTTTTTTCCATAATGGCCATTTTGATATAATTATCAGAATTGTTTTTATGCAGGTTATCTTCAGTAGTGTATAAATCAGTTTAATTCACTCATTTGACTCAATACAAGTGTTGAGTCTGTCAAGGTAGAGCAAGCTGCAATGTTTTAAAATGATTGTTTAAAAAAATTGTGTTTAATTGATTTTATATTTTATGAATATTCATTCAATAGTATCCATGTAATAATAATTTAGAATTACCTACTATGTCTGTGGTACTTTTCTAGGTATTTTACTTAGAACACTAACAAAAATACCCTCTTGGGCTAGCCAGGGAAATAGAATTATCAGCAACAGCAAGCTGGAGAATTTTTTTTAGAAACACAGATTATAAAATTTTTCAATTTTTTCAGTTTATAAACTTCTACCAAAATTGATTTCAAGCTTCCAACATGAAGCCACAGAAGATGGCGTGGGAAAGCGATGAGCATGACCGAAGGTCTCAGCCCGTTACAAGGTAGTATAAGCCAGCACAACACTGCACGTTTTAAAAAGCACATACACACCCTACTAGGAGTCAATGACAAGTGCAAAGAATAACAACTAAGACAGAATAAGTGAACAGAGGGAAGGCAAAGAAGACTAAAAAAAAAAAAACATGTCAGGAAAAGAAAAGATAAACCAGGAGGGTGTAATAAAAGAAAAGTCAGGGGGAAAAGGATTTTGAAAATTGTATCATATCAAGGAGGCATAGCAATATGTTCAGGGATAAAAACAGGAGAGAATCAAAGCCTCTTGGAATAGGAAGCTAGGTAAGTAAGTAGATACCAATACATCTTAAATTATCGAGAGCAACGACCCAGCTTAATTCATGATTGTATCTGTGTATCCAGCCTGGTGCTTTACACAGGTAAGGAGCTCAATGGATATCCTCAATGATGAGTGAATGAACGCTCTATTTTTCCCTCAATATCTTTCATTCTATGGCCCACATAACGAAAATCTCTTTAAGTGTAATGGTGATAACATTGAGAGAATAAGGGCTTTGGCACTAGATGCATAACCTGGAACTTCACTCACCATGGAATAGATCAGTATCTAATGTGGATTTCCTTCTTAGTGCTTGGAACATCATCTATCTCATTTTGAGTTGACTTCGTTTTCACCAATCACAGAGAAAATTGTATATTTTAACCAAGGCTAATGAAGACATACAGATTGAGAGATATGAGTTTGATATCCAGTTCTCCTACTTACTTATTATGTGATGTTAGCAAGTTTCTTGATAGTTCTGTATCTCAACTCTCTCACCTGTAGTACAAAGGTAATAATAAAAATGCACAAGTCTATTCAAAAGATTTAAATGATATAATTCATGCAAAAAGTGGCATTTAGAATATTGTAAGCATTGAATACATTCTAGTTGTCATGTGGTTCATGGTAAGAGATCAATAATATATTTACTAAATAAGGGTATAAATAAATGAAAAACAATTCTGACATTGCTCGGATTATGTACTCTGACTGCCTCCTCAAATTTCAACTTTTTTCTTTTGATAAATCATCACTATACAGACTTTTCAGTGACTTCCATGGTGCCCAGGATATAAATAATCAAAAAAATATTGAGCTGTTTTTGTCCCGAATGGAAATTTAGAAACCATATATACTTGGGCATGTAAATTTTACAACTTAGATGTGTGAGACTCATACTTTTTAATTTTTTTAAGATAATGTTGAGAGAGAGAGAAAAAAAGGTATACTATTATATTTCATTAAAGGGGATAGATATTAGTTATTTCCAAATAATCACAAAACAGATTAGGTTA